TGAGAAACTGTGCAATGCAAAACAGGCTCATTGCAGCCACTAATGCAGGGATAAATAGACCTGTATTGCCAGATGGATTTCACTTCTTTTCTTTTATTAACAGATTGCAGAGTGGCACTTTAATTTTTTCTATCTTTGAGCTTGATACAAATTTTGACACAGCTGCATTTTTATTTTCTTTATTTTTGAGCTTGCTGTTATTTGATGTAGATAGTTTGTATTTAGATACTACTTGTTACTTCAATAAAATTGGAACATTTTAAGATTGTTGCATATTTCATTAGCATTGTGTTGGGGCGATGGGGACAGGCGGGGCTTGAAAATTCCCCCTTGTCCAAAGTGGGGAATGACAGAAAAAGTTTGAGAACCACTGCTTTAGGCTAATATTGATTTTTGTCTCTTCTTTTAATTGATATAAATGACACAATAATAACAATTCTCAATCTGGACCTTAACAAATCAAACATTACATGTTCTTCAACTGGTATTTTTAATCAATCTTTCTGTAATGTATAATATAAGGAATGTGTAAATTGTAATTTTACACCACGAGTTCTATACAAATCTCACTACAAAGAATGGTTTTTATTGTAATAACGTTCTTCTTTCTCTTATTGTACTTTTTATTTTTTTTTACCTTAATTCCTCCCGTCCTTTATTGAGATGTTTTATTAACAGTTCATACTTCATTGTAATGCCAGTCCTTGCTTTATTATTGATAATTTAGAACAAAAAGGATCAGCGTCTTTTAGATTGAGCAAGTATACTTCACGGTCTGTCGGAAAACATACATCTCACAACTTCTAATCGGGTTTTAGGCAGGGACGGTGGTTTTTAAGCTTTAAATTAATTTTAAAATGTATTTCTCTTGCATTATTTGTTTCGTTTGGAAAAATCTGCACTGTGTAGAATCGAATCAAAATGATTTCCCAAGTACAAAAAGCCCTTGAACGCACCCTTCAATGATGAGACGCCAAAGAATGACGACCAACCACTAAGATTAAGCTCTGTTCATGTTTTAATGTACGATTTTGAATCACCAGTAGCGTACTTACGTGTCAGTAAAGATCCTTGTAATATTCCTATATGAAGATAAGCTGTCCTGTTATGGTGTCGCTGTGATGAAACGTGAATCCTGCTGTTTGTGAAGCGCGATGCTGTGCAGTCTGAAGGTTTCCCATGTAGTTTTAAAGATGACAACATAATAGAAACTAAACTCTCATCAACTGTCAGTGACTACTTCAGCTCCGGTCTCCAAAAACACGATAACATATACATGATGTAGCAGGAGTACTTCTCTGCTCTCCCTGCTTAGCATGTAACTGCTACTGTAGCACAACCGGAAGTAATGTGGAATTCACTTCAAAACAAAAGCACGACAGCGATAGTTACCAAAAAAAGCGTCGAAAGCGTTTATTTTAATAAAAAGGCTGGGAAATATTTTCAAAATACATTTTGTGCTAAATTACGGATAGAAATTAAAACAACATGTGTTGAGGTGATCTAGTTAAACATTTATACAATCTATTTATCACTTTTATCAATCTATCTATCACGTTAATACAATATAATTAGCAAAAAATAATTTTTTTTTCAAGTGACAGCAATACTATTCCGTAAATATGAAAGGGAGATTATTTTATTCATTTTTCAGTTTCAATGGTTTTGTGCAGTATTGTACGGAAGAGAATTAGGACCATTGAAAAAAAAAATTCATGATTTTTAAATATTATTTCAGTTTAATATGGGAAAAAAGTCAGAATTCTGACTTTAATCTCAGAATTCTGACTTTTTTCTCAGAATTTTGGATCTTAATGTAGATGGTCACCATGAAGGAAGAGATGTGTTAGCCTCCAGCTTCACTGACAAAGATGTAAGTTGTTTGGGAGGAACAGTAACACATTGGTGGAAAATGACGCAATTAGTCGACTTTTTACGTGGCCGAGGGGTCCCTGGTGATGCTATTTCATTAATGGAAGAGCAGAAGGTGATTAAAACAAGAGAGCTAGTTTAGTCTCTAAAACAGATATGGTTATGGCTTGATGCTAACATGTTTGTGAGCTGTCAGAATTCAGTCAGAATTCTGAGAAAAAGTTCATAATTCTGAGATTAAAGTCAGAATTCAGAGATTTTTCTTATATTATCCTGAAATTAAATTTAAAAATCACTTTTTAAAATTTTTCACGGACCCTAATCCTTTTCCGTAGTGTTTCTATAAAAAACATTCATGTCTTAACATCCAATAGAAAATTTCTAATGAAAATTGTTAAATTGAAATGTGATCAGTGTGTAGTTGCTTAAGTTTTAATAAATATCTATTTGATGTAAATGGTTAATTTAGTTTGTTGGCCATTTGATATGCTCCATAGAGAGTTCATTATATTGATTTATAATGTTTGCATTTGGGCTATACAACATATTGTGAATATGTTATCACAACAATATTAGATTTTTGAATATTCATATCGCTAAGGACTATCAGAGGAGGAATAATTGTTGGCTAATATATTCTAAGCGCTTTGAGCTTGTATTCTTCATACCAATTTAACATTTAATCCAGCTGCATAGAAACTCACTGCAGGAAATGCTCACAGTGGACAAAAATAACATCACATGAAATACTAAAGAACACATTGTGATTTAAGTGCAAAAAAAAAAGAAAGAAAATAGGCATGTATAGCTACTGATATCATCATCATAACATTAACAATCATAACAATTACAAGATTCTCTGATATACTGTAGCACTAGTTTGCATGTCTAATTTTATTGTTGAAAAGAAACACAAAAAGAGACATTTTTTCTTTTGATATAAACAGTTATAAAAGTTTGCCTTTAGCTCCTGTGACTTTATGACACACTATGTTTTTTAATGGGTGAATCACTGCTGAATGTATGCATGACAGTCATCTCATTTAACCAGCCCCCCTCACCTGTTTAACAACAACACGTCCTGTGAGACCTATGGTGCAAACAAACACAGCACTGGCATCTAAAGCTCAGTTTATTAGTTATGAGGTACACGTGCACATTGGGCTGCTCCCTGAAAGCAAACCTTCTGCACATCTTTACACAAAGGATTGTTATTTTTTTGTTTAATATATTGTAAAGAGACTAGATTATGTTTCTGAAATCACCAGTATGTTAAGCGTTGTGTTGTTTATGAAAGTCACCATGCAGCATTTCCTTTTTCTTTTTTTCTTTTGATTTATCTTCAGGTAAGAGGAAGCAGGCACTATTAATTTGGAGAGTAAGAGAAAAAAAAAGTATTGCTTTTAGATAAAATGGAAAACCTAATGGTTTAATGCATCTTTTTAACAGACTATTACTATCTATTTTTAAGCATCTTCGTTCATGAAGGACTATTTAAAAAAAAAAAGTTTAAAAAATGTCTACCTGGTTTCGATTTTGTTCTCAGGTGTACAATATAACCACTCTAACAAGCCACCATTACAAAACACAGCAAATCGTGAATGCCTAATAGATACAGGGCCAGTCCAAGTCTCCACAGGGCCCTAAGCAAAATCTGATTTTGAGCCCCCCTATTTCCACTAATAATATCTATTGCTGCAAACAACATCATTAAAACAATATTCACACACCTACTATAAACCTATTGCAACTCTGGCAGCCTCCTATTTTTGTTTCCTAGTTTGTTAAATATAATAAAATAGATTCGTATTCAGTTTATTTCCTGTAGAGGTATCACAATGATAATAATTTCTGGTTCCCACATGCTACATCAATGTGCAAAAATACCTGTGATTTAAAAACAACAACAAACAAATCAAACAGCCTTGATGAATGAAAACAATACATCAAATTGTAAAATAAAAAAAATTAAATTAAATTAAATAAAAAAAACGGACATGATTAAATTAAATAAACAATGAAATATCAATCTTATCTTTGTACTCCAAACAGTTTATTCTCAGTCCTTTCTTTTCTGTGGGTTAATCGAGCCCCAAGAATTGTGTGTCTATATAATTTTTTTCATGGTAATGATTTATACAAGATTAATGATATTTTGATGTTCATTTTATCAAAAAATATTTTTCGAGTCACTTTATTTATAAATTAATCATAAGCATATAAAGTGTGTTTAAGTGAACTTTGTTTACATTTCATGCTTTTTTTAAATAGGCGGTAAAGTTTAAATATTTTTGAAAACCTAAATCTAAATATTAAATGTAAGGCTGGAAAGGTTGCCAGTCTGTTACAGGGTAATAACATTAAAACTATATATATATATATACATAGATAGATAGATAGATAGATAGATAGACAGACAGACAGACAGACAGACAGACAGACAGACAGACAGACAGACAGACAGACAGACAGACAGACAGACAGACAGACAGACAGACAGACAGACAGACAGATAGATAGATAGATAGATAGATGGGAAAAAATGTAGATATATTTTACTTTAGTTTTAACTTTAAGGCTTAAGTTTAAAGATATGTATTTAGATTTAACTTTTACATGTAAGCCATAGATTTATATATAGATCTAAAATTTAGATATAAATATAGGCTACAACATTGAAATAGAGTTAACATTTATATTTAGAGTTTGCCATTAAATGTTCCAAAAAGGCACTAAAGGTAATAAGCATATGCTAAAATGTAGAAATGTCATAGTAAAAATTGTTCTACAATTTTGCACATTTAGCACCCATAAATGGTTGTATAATAATTAATAATGAATATAATTACTTCACAATATATTCATACATTTGTAAGTATTTACAGTATATATATTTTGTTTGTTGCATGATTATTTTTGGGGTCTCATGCTGAAAGAGGAGACAATAACTCTTCATCTTCTCTATTTTCTAACTAGCTCCTTTCTTTAGGTGCCTTGTCTAAATATCTAATTACCCTAAACAGAGGCTATAAGGTTTGCTGGTTTCTCAGCCAACGTATAGTTTAATTAAGTATTGATGTGGTCAGATGAATGTAACTGAAAAGCTGTCTTTCACCTGTTTGTTGTAGGGGTTCACCTATTGAGACTAACAATGAAATCAATCCTGGTAAATATGATGCACCGCTCGAGGAAAGAAGAGGAAATACTGCAAGAGATACAACGTTAGTATAGAAGAAACTCCCTCTTTATTGTTAATAATGAGTTTAAAGCTGTGAATAATTATCATGCTATGTTACAGAACCACATCACCAGCAGAAAAACTGGTTAATAAGCCAGAGCCACAAAAGCAAATGCCAGTTATAAACACAAATGGACAAAAAAAGGAGGTGGGAGTAGAAGCACCAGCTGACGAGTCCAATATGGAAGACAACATGGTGCCTGTTAAGGTCCCAGCAGATGTCGATAAAGAACAAGAAATCCAACCAGCTCCTTCAGCAACCGAAAATGTTGATGCAGCAGATAAACCTGCAGAAGTCGAAGGAAAAACCGCTGATACTGAGCCTAAAATAGTAGCAAAGCAGCTTTTCAGTGATCTTCAGGAGCCAGCTAGTGTCACAGACACTGAAGAGGTTCCTGCTACACCCCTATTCATACCAAAACCTCAGGAGGAAGCTTTAATCAGAGCAGAGCCAGCAAATACACGTAGTTTGGGGGATGCAGGGGAGGAAGAATCTGTGCTAACTAAAGACGGTAGTGCAGAGAAATCCCTGCAACAGGAGAGAAATGGAGAAATCCTCCCTGCTGTCTCTCAGTTTACAGTGCAGGAGATGGCTGAGAACTCTGCAGCACCTGATGAAGACATTTCTCCTCAAGCCACCAAGGAATCCGACATACAGTTTGAAACTGTGAGCAAGTCCCTAAGTCAGTTTGACAATGAAACACCTGTGGAGGGCAGTTGTGAAAAACAACCCCAAGAACAAGATAATAAAGAAGCTGAGGTTGAGAATGTGATGGCAACCCCCAAAGTTGATAATGCAACACCCAGTGAGGAGGCACCTCCACATAACAGCATGCAACCAGGCACCAATACTCCGTCTGAGTCACATTCTGATGCTGAGGATGTTGTTGTAGCTGTGAAGTGTGAAGTTGATCAGGAAGCCATAGAGGAGCCAGTCTTAAAAAGCAGAACGGAGGAGGCTGTTGAGGCCGAAATCCAACCGGTTAACAGCACTGCTGTTGAACGACATGATGAGCCCTCAGTGGAAAATGAACAGGTGGACCTTAACATTGAAGATGTTCATAAAGCAATACCCCCTGGAGATGATGGAGCTGTTCTGGATGCTTCTGATTTTAAAGCCATTGATCTGACAGATGCACTGGATATGAAAGTACCTCAGAATGCATCTGTTCCTGAACCTGAAGAGTCAAAAGGACTTAATCAGGAGGAGCTGTATGAGCAGCGTGATGATACCAAAGAGTAAGAATGCTTTCATAAACAATAAATTCACAATTTAATGAAAGGTGTAATATATTTTGATCATTTTGTTGTTTTTTATAGTTCCAATGGGATTCAAAAACCCGAAGAAGAGCCAAATTCAACCAAAGCCCCTAAAACACCCAGGTATGTTTTCAGTATCTCGTATAACACCCTGTCATCATTTCCCATGGGAATATAATGAATATAGTCAGACCAATAACTAACATTATGGGCCTGATTTTTAGAAGGTTTGCATGAATCAAAATAGGTGCAAAGTTGTCTTCAGGTGCAGAGCAGATCTTCAAAGATGGTTTGCATGTGTGTCTTCATCAATATGCGGATTGAATTTTAATCAGATAACTGCACAGATTTTGGGGCAGAGGATACACAAGTGAAAATATTTAGAATGTGCAAAGCTATTTTTCAAGGCTGACACCTAACTGAGGCATCAGTTTTATGTCTTTTTTAAAAATTTTAAAAGTTGCGTGGAAACTCACAAAATTTTCTGTGGTCGATGTTACAGACCATAGAGATCTTCTGAATGTAAACCTTTGTGTCCAAAGGTCTGCCCTAATCACTATATAGGGCACTATATGGTGGTTACGCCATTTTAAATGAGTGTCCGACAAATAACTGTAGCTGGATGACCCAATACTCTAATGCAATCTACTAGCTTCCACTGTACATCCAAAAACCCCACATCAGAGTCAGTGCCGAGAGATGGCACTGCTCGGACTTGTCAATCTGGAAGAAGAAGAACTCCAATTTTTGCACGTGCAGTGCGCGAGTTTCAGGTTAATCGGCTTGTAGCTCTGCTTCAACAGCAGAATTTGCCCACAAACACCTCACGAGGGCCAACTAACTTTCACACGTTGATTTTCTCCCGCCCTTACGATTCATGATTGGGAGGTGGTTGTGAGAGGCTAATAGCCCCTCGTTACTCCCTGTATACTACACTACGCAGGACGCTCAATGAGGCTGAAACTCGGCCGGAACAAAAAATACTCACACAACAGGAAATTCGGCCCAAAAACGGGCAAAAACTCGTAGAGTGTGTGCCCGGCTTTAGTGAACGGGTGAGGAGAGGGAGAAGAGGCTGGAAGGTGACTCCGACGTCTTTTTCGAATATCTCCACTGGTAGGAAGGCCAGGGAATTATCCAGGACAAGCTGGAGGGACTATGTCTTACAGTTGGCCCAGGAATGCTTCTGGCTTCCCCTATAGTAGTGGCTCTCAACATTTTCAAGCCACAACCCCCAATTTAACATGCACCGCTGTCCACGAGTAGCTGGACAGCTGGTTTTAAGTCATAAAAAGCCTGTTTGAGACCAGCCGCCTTCCATCTGTCTAATGTCTGGTCAGAAGTTACATTCATTTTGCACATTTATATTTTTCTAAAACTATTTGGCTACCCCCAGAATTCATCTTGTGACCCCAAGGGGGGTTAGGATCCCATTGTTGAGAATGGCTGCCCTAGAGGAGCTGAGGAGATGTCTGTGAAGAGGGGAGTCTGGAATCTATGTTGACACTGCTGCCCCAATGACTCACCTCTCTTTTAAGGCCAATCTGTAACTGTCAGTATAACACACAGTCTGCTCATTTCATTTGGGTGAAACCAAATCGCTTTGTGTATCGTAACGTACACGCAAACAATTCTTAGCTAACCTATGGCCCTATAGGCTTAAGAGGGCAATAATTTATAGACAAGGCGGATAATTGGGGAGAGATCTGTCACAATCTTTGAAGATCAGGCCGTGAATGTCTTACTGTAAAGGTAATGTTTTCAAATCTGTTTCAGGGATGAAAAATCCATCTGCTCCTACTGCCTCAACGTCATCGATGGGTGTATCAAGCTTTATTTTAATTATCCGCCTATGGCATGCCATCCAGAATGCCTCAAGGTTTGCATTGCATTTCAATTTAAATGTTCCATTTTTAAACACCTTGCCTTTCAGAAATATTCATATCATTTGTAATTATTTCTATTTGTTCTTTTTATAACCAAACGTCTGATGAATTTTGTGTTTTATGTGATAGACCTCTACACAAAGTAGTCAGTGTGAGCTAAATATTGTCAGCTCTTGCTAAATGTTTAGCTTTTGCTTAAATTGTCAAAAGGGTGGTGGATGTGGTTGTGGACCCAAACGTAGCATTGAAGGAGGGAGAGATGAGTTTTTGCTGATTTAATGAAGATGCCAAGGCAACACAGAAACATACACAGAAAACCAAAAATTGCACAGGTGGTGTATATAGGGGAGATAGAACAAAACTGAGGTAATTAGCTAACCGGGAGCAGGAGTGGATAGAAACTAGTTGAGAGGGGACTGGAACAAGGGGGAAACAAAGAGCAACACAAAAAATACAACACTACTTAGATATAACTATAAAACAAATATAATGACACAAAACAGAAAATAAACCAATGACCAAAAAACAGATTGACATAAATAATTGAAAATTCAAAAAGAAAATAAAAAAGAAGTCCAAAGGGGAGAACCATAACAAACAGCTGCCGGCTTTTTGGGGTCTTTTCTAGTTTTGAACATCTAAAACAAGTTTTATTCTTTTACAAATTAGCTCCAGGTCAGACAGATAGGTTCTTTAAGCAGAGTTTTTTTTTTTTTTTTTTTAAGTCTCTTTACAAAGTCTCAATTGGGTGTACAGTAAGTCTTGACTTTCACTGGACTTTTCAGACAAAATATTCAATACAATTCAAGACAATGCAATATAACTCTGGCCACTGGCTCTGACTTAATTCAATTCAATTCAATTCAGTTTATTTATATAGCGCCAAATTCACAACACATGTCATCTCAAGGCACTTTACAGTTCAACCAGATCATACAGTCAAATTGATACAAAGTTTTCTGTCTAAGGAAAACCAGTTGATTGCATTGACTCATTGACTCAAATACAATCCCTCACACTAAGCATGCTTGTAGCGACAGTGGAGAGGAAAAACTCCCTTTTAACAGGAAGAAACCTCCAGCAGAACCAGGCTCAGTGTGAGCGGCCATCTGCCGAGGCCGACTGGGGTTCAAGGAGACGGAAGCAGAGACACAAAAAGCAGCTGTAAAAGGCGGCCCCGTCCAGGAAACACACAGCCAGGCAGACGAGCTCCGAGCCAGCTCCCATTCCAGAGGACGAAGAGAGCACATCCACTCAGTCACGGTCAGAGAAACAGGACTACACTGGAAAACAGGCCGATCTCCAACATCTATAAACAAGGGTGTTGATGGAAGCAGCACAGCTGATGTTTCTTTCCAGGATGACGTCACAGCCAAACAGGAACAGACAAGGCAAAGCTACTCTGAGGAAAAGCAGAGAGAGCAGATGGTTAGAGATTGAACTAACAGATTCTGCAGAATAGGAGAACAGAGAGAGAATGAAGCAGAATGATGAAATGGGGGTCCCTATGTCCTCCAAAAGTCTAAGCCTATAGCAGCATAACTATAGAGATAGCTCAGGATAACCTGAGCCACTCTAACTATAAGCTTTATCAAAAAGGAAAGCTTTAAGCCTAGCCTTAAAAGTAGACAGGGTGTCTGCCTCACGGACTAAAACTGGTAGTTGGTTCCACAGGAGAGGAGCCTGATGACTAAAAGATCTGCCTCCCATTCTACTTATAGAAATTCTAGGAACCACTAGTAAACCTGCAGATTGAGAGCGAAGTGCTCTGTTAGGAACATAAGGAACAATAGGATCTCTGATATAAGATGGAGCTTGGCCATTTAAGGCTTTATATGTGAGAAGGAGGATTTTAAATTCTATTCTTGATTTAACAGGAAGCCAATGAAGAGAAGCCAGGATAGGCGAGATATGATCTCTCTTTTTCATTTTCATTAGAACTCTGGCTGCAGCATTTTGGATCAGCTGAAGGCTTTTAACTACAGTTTGTGGACTTTCTGATAGTAAAGAATTACAATAGTCCAGCCTTGAAGTAACAAATGCATGGACTAGTTTCTCAGCATCACCCCTGGACAGGAGATTTCTAATTTTTGCAATGTTCCTCAGATGAAAGAAGGATATTCTAGAAACCTCTTTGATATGGGATTTAAATGACAGGTCCTGATCAAAAATAACACCAAGATTTTTTACTTTATTATCTGAAATCAGTTTAATCCCATCCAAATGAAGTGACTGGCTAATCAGCTTCTTTTTCAGAGACTCTGGTCCAAAGACTATAACTTCTGTTTTGTCTGCATTCAGAAGCAGAAAGTTAAGAGTCATCCAGGTTTTTATGTCTTCAAGACATGCCTGTAATCTATGTAATGGGTTAGCTTCATCTGGATTTATAGACAGATATAGCTGGGTATCATCAGCATAACAGTGGAAATTAATCCCATGCTGTCTAATAACTCTACCAATTGGGAGCATGTATAAAGTAAAGAGAATTGGTCCTAGCACTGATCCCTGTGGTACTCCACAGGTAACCTGTGAGCATGTGGAAGATTTGTCATTAACATGAACAAACTGAATTCGATCAGATAGATAAGATTTAAACCAGTCTAGTGCTGTTCCTTTAATTCCAACAAAATATTCAAGTCTTTCTAAAAGAATATTATGGTCAACTGTATCAAATGCAGCACTAAGATCTAACAGGACGAGCACAGATACAAGTCCATTATCTGAGGCCATGAGAATATCATTAGAGACTTTAACCAGAGCTGTTTCAGTGCTATGATGAGCTCTAAAGCCAGACTGAAACTCTTCAAAAAGTTCATTATGGTGTAAGTGATCGCAAACTTGTTTGGCAACTACTTTCTCAAGAATTTTGGATAAGAAAGGAAGATTGGATATAGGTCTATAATTAACCAAGTCATCTGGGTCAAGAGACGGTTTCTTAAGCAGAGGTTTAATTACAGCAACCTTAAAAGCTTTAGGTACATATCCCTGTAACAGAGATAGATTAATCACATCTAAAATGGAGGAGGAGATCAAAGGGAATACCTCCTTAAATAACCTGGTTGGAACTGGATCTAACATACAAGTTGAAGGCTTAGATGAGGACAATAATTTTGCTAATTCAGGAAGTTCAACTGGATCAAAGCAGTCTAAACCCGGTTCAGATTCCATGACTACCTCAGGTAATTCCCTACAGCATTACCACAACATGATACTGCCACCACCATGTTTTACAATGGTGCATTCAGCGTGATTTAATATTCATTGGTAATCAAACCAGAATACCCTCTATCACACATGTACTCTGTTTCTATGGAAACTGCTGGACACTGAAGGAGAGGTATGGGTAATTATAACAAGGCTGGAGACTGTGGAATGATGCCTCCTTGACTCCATATTGATGAGTGCAGAATAGACCCAGAACCATCTCTACTTACGTCTAACTCCCAGTCCAAAGCATAGCTGGCCTTTGGTCATAATCCTGAGGCATTACGTTGTGGTTTATTAGTCCTCCATTTTTCAACAATTCCTAATTTTTTGGGGGCATAGCAGCTCATTTCTCTGTGCTCATCGTGTTATTTTCATTGCATTGAGTTCTAATTCTTTTCTAATATATTTCACTGGATCTTGTTTTACAAAGGGTGTATCTTTGCTCCATCACACCACACAACAAGCTCTGCAGTAATTAAGCACCCTTTATAGTCAACAAAAGCCTTTACAAAGCAAAGACATCATTAAAGTTACTTATGGTGTTCTAGTATTTATAGTATTTATCTTTATTTATTTATCTTTTTTTGAGTGATTTCCCATTTCTTGTGCATGTTTCTCAGAGCACCCCCTGGGCGTTGGATTGTGGGAGAGCGAATCGAGTGCTTGTAATGTCAGCTGTGGGTTATACACATTATTCTAGACACATCCCATGGGTTTCTTGTACCTGTGCTTCTGCTCTTTTTAATTAGTCGCCTTCCTTCAGTTGCCCTCCCACAGCTGCTCCCACTTCCATCTGATTAGCTTGTCTCTTTATTGTTTCTTTTTGCAATTTCTCCTGACCCAGTATATAAACCCCTGTCATCTCATTGCTCTCTAATTGATCCCTCGTTTACTTTGTCAATTTCAATCCTTGTTTGTGCTGCCTGTGACTTTGCTTATGTTCCCCACTCTGACCTCCCTGTGGCAGTCTGCAGATTTGTTTTTTTAATTTTTTTATTGTAGTTAGTCTTTTGATTTACTTTTTATGTTAGTTCACTCAAAATTTTACTTTAAGAATTTGACATTATATTTTTGCATTAAACCTGTAATAAGGTTCGGTTTCAGACCAGCGGACAGCCTCAGCTGGGCCTGGGACAAGATCTATCGATCAATCAATCAATCAATCAATCAACCAGTCGACGGACAGCCGGGTCGATCGATCTATCAATAGATCGATAGAGTAATCGATCAACATTACAAATCCAAATTGTCATGACTGACTTTCCTGTTTGATTTTAACATTTACAAATAGAAATATTTCCACTTATTACTAAAGGATTATTGAAAATGTGGCACTTTTGGCTTTCCATAACCCCTCTAGTAGCAATTTATTCTAAACGAAGACTGTTGGGTTACTGTGTTTGTGTAAATCATCAATTATTTTTTTGCTATTAGGAGTCTATTTCTCTTGCTTCTTCTTTTTGTTTTTAGTTGTTTTTTATTTTCTCTAGTCATTATTCCTGGATTTCTGGATTCATTCTTAGTTTATTTCTCCTAGTATTTATCCCTGTTGGACCATTTCTCCTTCTGTTAATCAGTCAATTCTCTGCACCTGTGTTTCCTCATTTGTTCTGTCGTTTGCGCCTGTTTTCACCTCTACTTAAGGTCTCAGTCATCTGCCAGGATTCATTGGGCCCTCAGTTCATCTTCATGTCTCGGTGCCTGTTTGTTGTTCCTCTGCCTCTATATCTCATTAAATCCTGCAAAGACTTACCTTGCTGCTTCTGAGTGTCCGTCTGTGTTCTGGTCCAGAACAGAAGCTTATAACAGTAGAGATTTTTTCGTTATTAAGATTAGTTTTTAATCACCATGCTGCTTTCAAGTCCTTGTAGGCTCTTTGGTTCATCTTCAAATTCACTGATCAGAGCCCTTAAACTGGTGATCTTACTAAAGTATTGTTGGGCCTTAGTGCAGCATCTGACATTGTTTTTCACTACATTTCATTAGAGCGCCTGGAAAATTGACTCGGCCTCTCTGGTCCAGCAGTGGACTGGTTTAAATCTTACCTGTTCATCTTTAGTAGAATTGATCCCTGCAGCGGTGTTCTCACAGGTCTGCCTAAAAAGTGGATAAGACAGCTGCAGCAGATCCAGAACGCTGCTGCCTGCATCCTAACCTGAACTAAGAAATTGGAGAACATCAGGCCAGTTCTAAATCCTCTGGCTCCCTGTAGAGAATAGACTTTAAAATATACATGTTAGGCTAGAAATCACTAAATAGCTTAGCTCCAAAATATATCTGAGATTAGCTGTCAGTGAATCAAACGCCAGAGATCCGAGGTTTTCCGTTTACTGAAGCAGGTTTACCAAAAATCTTAAGTTTTCTAAACTTGAAAACAGGGAAACTGACTTTTCTGGTTCACAAAGTGATTTATTCAACCTTTGTTTCAGTCATAGTAAAAAATTTTCCAGAGCTAACCTGGTCAGTAGCAGGTTTTCTTCAGTAAACTTGGAGTTTCCTCTGTCTCTGCTGAAGACTGAATCAACATCAGGAGGAATGCATGAGATGATCCACAGGTTTTATATATTAGAACGTTTTTAGACTTAATTTTCACCTGCTGCCAGAAGATTTCACCTAAATATATATATTGATCTGCTACCAGTCAAGAAATAATCCCATAATATTATCGCAGTCATAACAGGGTATGGCAAGCCATTTTGATATGTACTAGTTTTACTGAATATGTATTCCTGATATCTGAAAAAAAAACTTTTCTCTTTTTCCAAATTATCAAACAAAATGACATTCTCCACATCTAGAGTAAGCATTCTGGATGTCTAGAAATTAATTTCAGATCTCCATATTCCTAATATTACTGGTCAGCATTATATCATCACAATTATACTGGTCAGTATTATTTTAATTATGATTTTTTTTTTCAGATATCACAAATACATTTTCAGTCAAGCTGATAAATGTCAGAACGGCCATTTAATCTATGTAAGCATTTCTAGATATATAAAACTTAGTTCTTACTAGAAAAATGTTGTTTTTTTTTACTTTCTAAAATTCAGTTTCTGCAACAAAAATGTAATTTAGAAAATATATTATAATAGCTTGATCTAGGACTGTGATTTTGATCAGGAAGAATCTTATGTTAGTGATCTACAAATGGAAAAACAGAGAGGAGTGCTTTTAATAAATAATGCCTTCCATAACTCACTTAAAGGAATAGTACACCCAAAACATGATTAGCCTTCATTTTCTACTCACCCCCATGCTGAACAAAACTCTGGAGTACTTTTTTGATATCTCAAATGCATCTGGAGATCTGGGAGGCTTCTTGCTGTCTGCTGACATTCAAATAATGGAGGTCTATGGCGCCCGAGACAGAAAGGTCCACAAAAGTCCACAAAAACGTGTCAATATTCCTCCATACTGCTCGTCCAATGTAATCCAAGTGTCCTGAGTGGGTAGCGTCCATAATTTACTCGAAACGAAGTCATTTAGAACGTTTTAGAGCCTAAACAGTAGTGTATAGGATTTCCTAATAGCGCCCCCATGCGCGCTCACGATTCTACGGAAGTCGGCAGACCAAACCAGCGCATTCAGCTCGGCAAAGAACTCATGCTCTTCCTCAACACTGAAGTCCTCAGACATTTTTCTTTCGTTGTTTCTTTCTTTGCACAGGTAAACAGCACATTTCTTCTTCTACGCTTGCATTATCGGCAGAGCAGACGCTGAATGCGCACTTTCTTCTGGTTTGGTCTGCCGGCTTCCGTAGAATCGTGAGCGCGCATGGGGGCGCTATTAGGAAATCCTATACACTACTGTTTAGGCTCTAAAACGTTCTAAATGACTTCGTTTCGAGTAAATTCTGGATGCTACCCACTCAGGACACTTGGATTACATTGGACGAGCAGTATGGAGGAATATTGACACGTTTTTGTGGACTTTTGTGGACCTTTCTGTCTCGGTCACCATAGACCTCCATTATTTGAATGTCAGCAGACAGCAAGAAGCCTCCCAGATCTCCAGATGCATTTGAGATATCAAAAAAGTACTCCAGAGTTTTGTTCAGCATGGGGGTGAGTAGAAAATGAAGGCTAATCATGTTTTGGGTGTACTATTCCTTTAATATAAACTTACGCAGCACTTGGAGCAACTATCTTCCTCTCCTGCGTAGGTTTAGCTTGGTTTCAATACATTCTCCTTTTTTATTTTATTTTTTTACATTGCTGCATTAAAATCTCTGGTTCCATTGGGGTGAAATAGGCATGTCCTGTTGCCTGTTGTCATGGTGACTCGTCGAACCTGTGCTCCACTGATAATGACTTTTCATACTTGCTGTGCACACACTTAACTCTGAGTGGACCTAGTTAAAATTGATTGAACGGATTGATGGCAGCCGTTGTGACACCAAACTCAGAGTTCAGATCAATTTAGAGTTGTGGATTTGAATCTAAATTTGTTAAACCTGCTTCATAAAATGGACACCAAGTCTTTTGGATCTAATCTGATCTGGAGAAACCAGAACCAAACATGGAAAATCAGCTTTTAGTTGTTATGCTCCACTAATGTGGAATAAACTCCCAGATAACTGCAAAAGCTCTGAAACTCTGAATGCTTTAAATCAAGATTAAAAACATATTTGTTCAGAGTGACTTTTGACTGTGATATATATAAACATAATTAGTTAAGTTTGTTGTTTAACTTTTCTGTCATTGCTTCATCAGTAATTTAATATTTTTTATTTCATTTTAATTATCAAACAGTATTCTCTCATATTTGTTGCCTTTATACCATTACAATGTACTTTATTCTGCTTCTCATTTATAGCAACTTGATTTTTGCCTCTGAATATTCTATAGAAATAAACTTGCCTTCCGTGCCTTGAAGGGACTGGATCCTAACTAATGGTATCAAATGAAAGAAGATGAAATCTGCACTACTTTGTGTGGGTCTGACACATAAGATCCTAAATAATTACATTAAGATTGTGACAAAATGTGAAAAAGAACACCTGATACTAATACTGTATTCAAACACTGTGCAGAAAATTGTGACTCTTAATGGTTAATTCTAATAATATATTTGTGTTTTGCAGTGTGGCGTTTGTGAAAAGGCGATTGGAGACCTGAATAGCCGTATCTTCCTGCATGACAAAGTGATCCACTGTAATGACTGCTTTTCTAGGGTGCTTAATATTTGAATTCAGCTGGGGACAAACACTGTATGTCTCACAGGTTACGGTGAATAATGTACCCTACAAAATATCTTCCAATTATAAGCTCCTGCTCTGAACGTTGCTTTTCTGATTTATGTTTTTTTTTCCCACTTCAAAGAAAGATTTGGTTTATATGATGTTTAAAAATGGTGTAATTAAAAACACTGTCAGTGCTAATTACCACAAATGTTTGAATGAAATGCTCCACGTTCAGCAAAAATTATTTTATTGCCACTTACAGTATATGATTAAAATCAAATTACAATTAAGTCCCTTAGATCAAATCGTTCAATTAGCTTTAATTACAAATAAGCACATGCAACATTTGTCAGCCGCTGCACAGTTATTTAAATACAGACTTCTCTTTTTCTTATTTAAGTAGACATGAAGACTGTCTCTCATGTTTAACAGAAAGAGAAAGAAATGCACAGCTGATTTATTCAGAAGTGACAAGTTCCAAGATAAACTTACATTCAGCTTTGCTAGCTTTAGACTCATGATGCTCCTGGCGAGGTGCGGATAATAAGGCAGCAGCAGCAGCAGCAGCAGCAGCAAAAAAAAAATCATATTCAAAACCAATATCTGCACCAGTAAACACTGAGAAGGACGAACACAGTTATGAATTGCAAAGCAAAGCTGTCATTGCTCTTAATTATTCATGAAACCTCCTACATCACAATCAGCTCCAGCAAAGCCTCACAGAGTGATTTAAAAGAGAGAAAATGAACAACAAAGCATTGGGAATCATCTGAGAGGATGACTTGTGGAGCAGGTTGGGGCTCATTACTGCGGGTGAATTATCTTCATCTCTCTGCCTGTTGTTCAAATATAACAGAGAAGAAAAATGTTTGTCTGTTATCTGAAAAAAAAAAGGATGGCAGAGAATCCAGGTTTGAAAGATTCTGCTTCAAGGGGGTGGAGATGAAATGTGGAGTCACACAGGCATCTCAAAGTGAACTGTGCAGCACTTAGCGAATTCCTTTTCTGCCAAGGAACCGCAAGACTGCGTAGTTGTAGGTGGTGGGCACCAGATACAGAATCTGCAAAAAAGGACAGGCAAGGGAAGGGAGGGTGTGTTAATATTTTATACTGGTGGTATGTTTGCCATTCACTGACGAGAAACTGAAAGAACTTGATAAAAACATTAACTGCAGCCTTTGGTTACAGGTGGTAAAAAAAAAAACCAGAATACATCAATGATTTCTACCCATGATTTGGGAAACTGATCTGGGTATCTTTGCTGATTTCTGCAGCATGGATGGTTCAATGCTGAGGCCACCAGAGACCAGTGGCTCTGAAGAATTGGAATTGAATTCACTAATAATAATCAAAATATTAAAGTATTGCGCATTAGCTTCAGCCATATTGAAAGATATGATGGGATATGTTTCTATCTACTAGATCAGGAGCTGCAACATGCAGCTGCAGGACTGCAAATGGATATTTGGTTCGGTGGCTCCCATGATATTTTAAACGATAAGCTATCACCGTGTTTTGTTTTTTTCATCCGTTTGTTCTGTGTCGCCATGGAAAAAATAAAAACTGGACCCACCTTAACCCCACTAGTAAATTTGGTCTAGAAGCACCACTAGCCTGCAGGAATAGTCAGGTTTAATAGTTTTTATTTTGTTTTATTTTAGATAGTCTGCTAAAGGAAAAGGAAAACTGGATAATTTTTTCACTGACTTACCGCTAGCTACAGAGCTAAGGACATAGTCAAGCTAAGTCATATTAAAAACAACTCCTGCTTTAAAAATCTCCCAGTGGCAAAGAACAAGGTAGTTAATGAACTTTCTGCAGGAGGAAGCATGAGTACCTGATTAACACATGAATGTGGAGAACATGCTGACTGTATGCAGAAAACCCACAGCCTTGTTGCTGCAAAGTAAATGACTCTTTTATACTGAACCAGGTCTGAGATACATTCACTTTTTATATTTATTTATATACATTTAAACTTGATGATCTGTATAATACAATAAAATTCTCCAGTAAAGTCAGTGATACTTTTATTGCATACTAACAGTTAGCTGCTGAAATTAACATCAGCTATCGGCATCAAATGAGCATATTTCAATATGTAATGAGCTTGCACTGAGGACAATATTATTTTAATTTCACAGGGAATATGTAAAAATTTATTTTATTCTAACAGAAAGATGCATTGTATCAGGTTATGGCAAGCTATGCTAACTTCCAGCTGTAGTCCTTAGGTATGCTGATGTTAACTACATGAAGGTTTATAGAAATAGTAAAAAAAATGGTGCAGCCTTAGAAATAATTACAGTTCATTGTATTGTATAAATATGCAAAAAAGTTATAAATCACATTTTCCTCAATCAATCAGAATATTTAATCAACAACGTTACACACTCTGCAAAAGTGTGGCTTCACTCATGCAAAATTGTCAGTAAAAGGTGCAAATCTTTTCCATAATATCCATTAACTCTAGTTCAAGATCTTAAATACCTGAACTAATCAAACATGAACTGGAATAGTTTTCAAACAAACTGAGATTTTAGAAAACATCTAGGGCTGAGATAAAACCTTTATCTTATTTGTAAAAACTTAGATTTGGTCTTCTTTATATCATTAGAGATTTATATGAATTATATTAACATACAAATCAAATTATATGGGCAAGTAATGCACTGACTGGAATTAAGGGGACAGTGTATAATTAATATCTCTATTTAATAGCAAAAATCAAGTATTTTTTTTATAAGTGCACATTCTGTCAAACTCTAAAAATTCCAACATGAAAACTAGTTAACTTCTGGGGGACAAATTGGTTAACTGCTGGGGTTTTAAAGACAGGAGTTACTGGTTTCCTCCTAAATCTTATTCCTGATTAGTTGGAAGAAAGATCCAACCTTTCATTTACATTTATAGAAGTCTATATCAGTATCATGGTGGTACACAGCTTCCCTGGTAAAACAAAGTAAGTCGTATGTGTGTAGCAAACAGATCATCAATCTCATAAAAATAAAGATAGGTAAAAGCATGAATGTTACAGCATTTCAAATGATTTATGCTGCCCTACAGCTTAGCTTACTTCTTCTGCATGTTAGTAAACTGGTTACAGAGATCAAGTTCTGCTTTAGCAGATACTGGTGCAGACCAAAAACTACAATGTTTGTGTGTTGATTATTCTGCATTGCAAGCATGTAAATGAGTGTAGAGGTTTTATGAACCTGTGTTGGCAAGAAACAAGGCATCATTAGCAATAAACACAGGACTGAGTTTCTTTCTGAAGAAACAGGTTTCTTCCTGACTAGTGGAGTAAAGTTTTTTTTTTCCAGTTCTTCTGTTTTCTCCAGTTCTTGCAGAAGAGACTGGAGGAAAGTCCTGGTAATACATCATATTTTGGAGAACTGGGATAGTTTCATTGAAAAGTCAACTCATTATATCCACTAGACTACATAAGGAGAAATCTTTATGAGAATACACATAGTGAAACAGATTATTTAAGAATTTATCAAATTTATTAAATGTATGTAATACAAATCTAGATTAAGGAATAACTATTGGTCACATCTGTTTACTGCACCAGCTGGCTTTTTCTTTTATTTTTCTTCTGCTATTCCTGCTCCCAAACCTACTTTAATGGATCTGAGCCTGCTTAAAGCAAAACATTCACCAAAATAAAACAAAACTTTTCAGTAAATTTGACTTTCCAAATTTCTTCTGGAAGAAAATAGAAGAAACTCTTTCTTCCGACCAGCAAAAGAAAACATGGAAAAATCCTGAAAAAAAAAAAAACTTTCAACCCTGAATAAAAATAATCACATTTTTTTATTTTATTTAAGATGACAGGAGCTTTTGTCTCTGCCTAAGTTTAACTAACATTCGCTGGAAAATGGCATTCTAATTTATTAAAATAAGGATACTGAGAGAATAATCCATTACAAATAAGGTGAGTTCTCAATGGTGAACAACACCCGACTCCAAATAAAACCATACAGTAATAAAAGGGAACCTTACCAGTGCCAACAGATTGACTCCTGCCCCTGCAAATGTTGCTATGTACAAGTCATAGGTGCTGTGGAACTGTAAGCAAAAGGAAATTATTTATTGGTTCAGTTAATAATACAAAAAAATAATTTACCATTCTGTGTTATCATCTTCTTTTAACTAAAAAGGCTCAAACAAATATAAAAACTAATTCCCAAACAATAGCTCACCTCACTGGTTTTGCAAATAGCTGCCAAGGTCATTCCACAGGACTTTCCCGGCATCACATCCCAAGGAAGCAGACCTGAGGTGAAATCATGACGTAAGAGAGAGATCTCCTGGTAACGCTTAATCATGACAGGCCTGTGATGCATAGAGATTCTGCTTTACATGCAACACATCAGAAACATAGCAATGAAGAATTATCTCAATCTCTCACAGCAGATTCAACTATCAGTCACATGGCCAGGCCTCACAGATTAATCCCTCTGCTCCCTGGGAGACATTAACATGCTCATCTGAGGGACGTGCAGTCATTCATTGTAAAGCAACCCACCGAACTGCCTTGCATCTATGCAGATCCAGTTTTGCAGACTAACGGGAGAGGATTCAGCCTGGATGTTGATGGTGTGACAGGTGTGCTCCATGTTGAAGAGAAAGAAAACCGGTATAGCAGAGAAAGCAAACACCGCCAGCCAGATGAAGGCCAAGATGTACGTGACTATTACAAACTGTTGAAACAAGAGTGTTACAGATCAGTAGCCTTCAGGTGTCAGCTTGAAAAATGTGTTTTCTGTTATCAGCAATAATTAATGGTTCAGAGTTGGAAACTGAAACAAATATGGTTTCCTTAACACAAATCGGTATTCAGTGTGTCAACAATAAGCTGACGTCATACCCCCTCCCCAAACACATACACACCCCAACTCACCGTCAGGCTGAGGCAGCGGCCACACTGGGTGCTCCTGAACTCCCCAAATGTTTGCTTGACTGCACTTGTGGCATAGAAACCCTCAGCCAACAACAGGATACCATAGAGGAAGAAAAATGATGCCAGACCATAGATCACGAACTGGAAGTATTTGATACTGGAAAAGTAAGAGAAATTCATTTGAGCATATACAAATATAAAAAATAAATAAAATAAAAATCAAGCAACATGTGAGAACATAAATGAACGCATTCAAGCATAACTCACAAAGATGCCATGACCTCATAGTCCTTAGGTTCACGGGCAAAGTGAGTCTTGACGAGCACCTCCGTCTGGGCCAACGCCTCGTACCCACAGCCACAAAACAAGGCAGTGCCGGCGTAGCACAGCAAGGTGGCCACCAGGGATGGGTAGGGCACTGCCCCAATGCAGCGGATACAGCAATCATAACAACCTGAGGGGGCATAATATATCAGCACACAGGCGGCACACACCGCACATACAACCACACAACACATCAAGGTCCCTGCAGGAGGGGGGCTCTTTCACCCCGATGGGGAGCTATGAGAAAGGTCTCGCTCTGACTGCAAATCCATGAACATGAGTCAAAAACCCCCAAAGAGCAACAAAAAACAAGAAAAACAGAATTAGACAGCAAAA